AAGACAGTAAAAATTATAACATTAGAAATACCCAGTTGTAAGACAGTAAAAATTATAACATTAGAAATACCCAGTTGTAAAACAGTAAAAATTATAACATTAGAAATATACAGTTGTAAGACAGTAAAAATTATAACATTAGAAATACCCAGTTGTAAGACAGTAAAAATTATAACGTTAGAAATACCCAGTTGTAAAACAGTAGAAATTATAACGTTAGAAATACCCAGTTGTAAAACAGTAAAAATTATAACGTTAGAAATACCCAGTTGTAAAACATCTTCTAGTTGCCACCACTCATACAAGCTCGAATTAATTTGCAATTTATTTTTGAAAAATCAGTAAAAGTTTGAAAAAAGCCCCATAGTAATCCAAAGTGCTACCGACACCTATGTTTTCTAAAGAATCTATCGGGGACATTGGAAACTTTCAAGCCGTGTTTCTCGAACTTGAGAAACAACGCAAGCTGATTTCGTTGCGAAGAGTCATGTTTTTAATTTTTACTTTAACTGAAAATGTTTACCATGATTAACTAGCTAAATTTCATATCGGACGACTACAGGTCTAATCTTGTAAGGAAACTTAAGACCAGTAGAAACTAATTTCCTTCCAATCAAAATAAAACAAAATATATCTTCAAACCCAAACTGTTTTTGACGCATGACGTCAAGTTAGCAGATAATATTTTTTAAGATAACTGTTGTGAAAATCGCATCTTGTGAGTTTCGTTATCAAACTTCAAAAGTGTATTTATCGTCAATACTTCCAAAAGCATTAATGCTCTTCGAAAATTAATTCATTACGTCGCCGCTAAGAGCGCTTTGAACGAAACTAGCCTTTAACGACTATAATCTTTAAAAGTTACAAATGAATGACTGATTTAACGGATAAAAGTTTAGCCAGAGAATTTCAGTAAGAAACTTAACTATGTGAAAAAACTTACTCCGTTTTAGTATATGTAGGTTTTTTTAAAACTGGGGTTCCAAGTAATACTTATTACTTCAAAATTATCCCAAATGTAACTGGTAGAGAAAATACATCTGGATTAATGAATTATGGAGCGAATACGAGTCTTGTAATATTCATTTACGATTGCATGATTAATTAGAAAGAAAAAAAAAACACCTGGTGGGCACTTCTGGCACTAAACATTTTGCGAATATACAACAATACAAGTTTGATGTCATAATTTTGTAGTTTGTTGCCACTAGGTGTCACAAATTCGGTTGCGGTGATTAACATAAAATTTCAAAACATTTACGCGTGAATAAATTGGCAGAGACATAAAATAAACATTGGTGTTTTGTTTGAATAGCTACCAAAAATAAAATTTCAGAAGAAACAAACTTTTGGCATGCATTTTCTGCTTAAATAGTTTATTTAATTTTTTTTTTAATTGTTTATAAACTTGTTTAAAATTCTTTACACTTTTAGTTTTTAATCTGCCACTTGGTAATAAATTTATCTTGATGAATGTCTAAATAGATAAATAATTTAAATGCACTGCGTTCGAAAAACAAACACGTCAAAACAAGGAAAAGTGTCTTTGTCGTCTAGTTTTTTTTTTTACGTTTGTAAAACTATCGAACCTACAACTATTATCTACCTTCTATTGGTTTTTAACGAAACATTTTGTAAAATTATCTTACGTAAAAAGTGCACTAAAGGACCTTATATGCTGGATGTGTGTGTCTGAAGTTCCTTGTTCGAGCCCCGTTACCACCCAAAATTATGAAAAATAGTAGTGTGATGGACTGTGAATCCGGGTGTTCATGGCTAGCATCCATATCCCGCAAAATCACACTCCGCAATTTGTAGTCATGGATGCGTTATAAGAGTGTCAGTCATAGCGAAGTTTTTTGTTTTAGAACAAAGCTACATTGACCTTTTAACATTGTAAGTCCGTAGACTTATCGCTGTTCCATCGGGGGACATATATCAAAGGAAAGTGCACGTGAAATCTTTATTTTTACGTATTTTCAACACTGGATTTTTTATTTAGCAGTACATTACAAACACGAGAGGGCGTCAGGTGATACCTATTGCTGCATGTGATTGGTTGAGAGTACTCCTATTTTACACGTTTGTATTGTAACGATTATGAGTATTCACATTAAAATTGTTTCATTTCATAGTTTATGTTCCAAATTATTACTATACGTATAGCGGTTGTTCAAACATAAGTGTTCCAAATTACTACTATACGTATAGCGGTTGTTCAAACATAAGTGTTCCAAATTACTACTATACGTATAGCGGTTGTTCAAACATAAGTGTTCCAAATTACTACTATACGTATAGCGGTTGTTCAAACACAAGTGTGCTTATGTTCCAAATTACTACTATACGTATAGCGGTTGTTCAAACATAAGTGTTCCAAATTACTACTATACGTATATCGGTTGTTCAAACATAAGTGTTCCAAATTACTACTATACGTATAGCGGTTGTTCAAACAAAGTGTTCCAAATTACTACTATACGTATAGCGGTTGTTCAAACATAAGTGTGCTTATGTTCCAAATTACTACTATACGTATAGCAGTTGTTCAAACATAAGTGTGCTTATGTTCCAAATTACTACTATATGTATAGCGGTTGTTCAAACATAAGTGTGCTTATGTTCCAAATTACTACTATACGTACAGCGGTTGTTCAAACGCAAGTGTGCTTATGTTCCAAATTACTACTATACGTATAGCGGTTGTTCAAACATAAGTGTGCTTATGTTCCAAATTACTACAATACGTATAGCGGTTGTTCAAACATAAGTGTGCTTATGTTCC